TCAATTAAATCCTCAAGAAATCATCTCTGCCTTTGGGTCCTCAACTAACTTCCACTAAACCTGACAGTAGGATCCAGCAGGTTTCAACATTGGAGCAAACCTGGGAGATCTTTTGAAAAATCTCTGGACAACATCTCCACTCTCAGCCCACCTTGGAGACGGGTAGGAGTTACAACATAACTTCTTAAACGACACACCTGTCGTCTTTGGGATTATCAGACATTGTTGAAGATGTGGAGCTGAACAAACAAGCTGCTGATGCTCAGCTATTCAATAATAGAATAGAATAGAAAGTTATTTTATTGTATCATAATGGTTAAATCGTGAAGCAATAGATTATACCAAATGTGGACCTTAGAAAAGTGTAAAAAATAACAGCATAATTGACGAGTAAGAAAATAATAAAATAAAATACTGCAATTACTGTGAAGTAAAGTTTATATTATAAATAATTCACATCTGAAGAATAAATAACCAATATATTTTCCCTAGGTCTGTTAGATACTTTAGGTTTTAAAAACAAACATTTCATGTCCGTTCAACGAGGATCTTATTGAAGAATGATCGGCAGATTTTAATTTATTCATATTTACAGCACATGAAGAACTAATGAAATTATTTTCAGATTACACATAAATAGATTCATTAATTCCATGCGGGAAAATAAATGACTTTAGGGTGAGGATTCACTCAATGATAAAAACCTACTGAGCCTACCGTTTCAATCTGAAGCTATTCTATGGGACTGATAACTGCTAATAACGAGCATTTATTGGGATTATAACGTCCAAGGCAGCGATTCAGTTGATTCAGTCTCTTTTGGATAACATCGAAAAAGATACCGAATTAACATGAGGAGGAACCCATGAGATGATGAACAGGTTCTATATAATAGAACATTTTTTTATTTTTCATCTTCACCTGCTGACAGAAGATTTCACCTAAATAGATACATTGATCCACTACCACTCATGAAATAATCCTGTATTATTATCGTGGTCTCAACAGGCTATGGCAATAAGCACTGACTCGTCCAATCAGTGCACCACTGATAATGGCTTTCATACTTGTTACGCATGTGTTCAACTCTGAGTGAACCTACTTAGAGTTGATTGAACTAATTGATAGCAGCCGCTGTGAAACTGAACTGTCAGAGTTTCTGACTTTAGGCTAGCCTAATTTACAGTTGAAGATTTAAATCTAAGTTTGTTAAACCTGCTTTATGAAACGGACCTCTAATCACAAGAATCTGTTGTGATGTTATTGTTTTAAAAAAGCCACTCAATGACTGTCCACTGTCAGTTGAAAGAATGATAATCGGGCTGCAGCTCTTCACACTCAATGTCATGTATACAACAGGCAGGTTGATGTTTACACCCGATACTTTGTCCAAAGCAGTGAACTCAAGAGAACAAACAGTGAGATGGGTCATGGTGTGCATGCAGAGGTGTCAAGTAACAAAGAACAAATACTTTGTTACCTTACTGAAGTAGAACTATTGGCTATCTATACTTTACTGTAAAGCTAGGTTCAGACCACACGCTGCAGAAGCAGGAGAAGCAGCTAGTTTACATGCATTGACGCACATCAAGGCGCAGCAAAAGGTCCTGCAGCACATTTGGAGCAGCTGAAGCAGCGCCTCAGGAGCTACTGAGCTACTGACGCGCTTCAGAAGCAGCAGTTGCAGGAGTTGGAAACATTGAACTTTAGCTGCTGGACATCAACCAATGAGAGCAGCTGATCTGGGAGCTGGCAGGGAGTCAGACGCAGCACTGCTGATGCAGAGCGCTATGATCACTCCTCTGAAACAGTTTATTAACGCTTAGGCTGCTGTTGAATGGGATTCCCAGTGACAGCGCAGCGCCGGTATGTGGGGGTCTGAGCGGCTCCCACAGAGAAATAATCTTTGAAGGCAGGATGGTAATCTGGATGAACTGACTGCACATTTTTCAGGTGGACTTTCTCACTTCAAAATAGATTCAAATGTTTTTTCACCCGCTGATCACAGCAAATATGGCCGCCATTAAAGGCAAAGAAAGGATAGAGTAGCTCCACCCAACGAAGCATCAGACCCACTTTTCCTACTGCGCAGCTAGAGCAGCAAAGATGCTTCAGCCGCGCGTCAGACAACATGTACATTTTGACTGCTCCTGCTGCATGAGGTCTGAATGAAGCATAAGAAAGTTATCATCCAGAATTGTAGTAACATTTTCCCTTCATAGGGTAACGCAGCTAAAAATGTTTCCTGCATTACTTTGACTTTTATACTTTAAGTAGTTTTAAAAATAGTACTTATATACTTTTACTTGATTAAAAAGCTGAAGTTGGTCCTCTAACCCATATAAAAGCATTTTTAAACAGCAGGATTTCTACTGGAGGAATAAACATGAATAGTTTGACACCTCTGTGTGGATGCCTACATTAATCAATCATGAGCACTGCTTGTAACACATGTAAAGATGGAGCTCATAAAACAAGAAATGGACAGTGATGCAACAGTGAAAAATCACAGACATCTTGAATGGATGTCCCAGTAAAAAACAGAGCTGTGAATCAGAAATAACTGATTATTGGAAGTACAGAAAAGACCTGTCATTTAGCAAAGTAGTTATCCTGAAGAGCCTGTGAAAGGCTAAGAGAAAATCACAGAAAACATCTCAGATTAGAGAAAAGCAGGAAAAGTGCTGGTGAAGTAATGTATTGGCCGCTGATGAACCAGGATGTGGCAAATGAGGTAACAAGCTGTGCACAATGGCTCAAATATAAGACAAGTAATCCGGCAGAGCCATTGAAGCCACACCCAGTTCCAGGTAGGCCATAACAAAAGGTTGGTGCTGATCTATTTGTTTTAGATGAAAAGAACTAAATCATAGTCTTTTCCTCGCTGTATGCAGAGGTCCTAAAATTGACCGTGACAGATTCTGTTATGAGAGCAGCCTCCTCCAGGCATGGCCCACAGTTTCACAGTGACAGACTCTTAGCAGAGGAACTGAACTCTGTGGGTTCTACTACTAGTCCTCACTACCTGCGATCCAATAGACTGGTAGAAAAATCTGTTCAAAGATTCATTAAAAAGGCAGAAGACAGTGGAACAGATTTTCACCCCAGTCTGCTGATATATGGCACCGCATTACTAAAAGCAGAGCTCCTATTGGCCAGGTGACTGAGATCAAACCTACCTGTAAATAAAACACTGCTGAGGATCAAGGATGGAGGACAGAAAGAAAAACAGGTGTTCTACTACGACAAATAGAATAGAAATCAACTTTATTCTCATTAGATTGTCACAAGTAGAGAGCAACAAAATCTCCTTGGGGAGCAGTGGGCTGCCATTGTGCGGCGCCCTGGGAGCAGTGTGGGGTTAAGGGTCTTGCTCAGGGACCCAGAGTGGAGGCTGTGGGGATTGGGAACCTTGGCAGAGCACAGAGCTCTGCTCTAAGCTCTCGGCCAACACTTTTCCTTTTAGTCACTGCAGCTGTTTTCAAATACATCAAATAAACTGAATGTTGTGAATTATTGTTCTGAATTCATCAAAAAGTTCATCAGTGTGAAAGACTGTTGGGTTCATTAGATGCAGACTGCTCTTTTTAAGAAAGCGAGATGTAATGATAGGAGCTTTCAGTTGTATTCAGTTGTAGGCAAAGTGTACACTAGAGGGCACTGTCGCAAGTTTGATGTGCATGTAAAAAAAGATTTAAGTACAATCCTGATTTATTAAAGAACCCGCAACAGATAAAACTCAACAACCTGTGTGCTAAACAGGTTAATGAGATTTCTGGCTGTGAAAGTTTAAAATCTGAAAAATATGGATTAGTTCTGACAGCAGCTGCTGTTTGCAGCTTCAGGCTGTTGCAGGAACGTTTGCTCATGAACAGTCTTCTGACTTCTTTTGTCCATGGGCTAACACACATGCTAGCATCACATGACAATGTGATGGCATTCCATCTATTTTATTTTTTCATTTCAACAAGTTGATGAGACGCCACAATCTAACAAATCACAAGAAGATTTTTCTGAGGTCTGTTCCGATTTTAAAGTGTTGAAATGAAACTTAAAAGAATCAGTGACATAAAATCTCCTCTGAAGCAACAAGAACCAGAAACAAGGTTGGTTTCTGTCCAAGCAGGTAATAGATGGAAAGAAAAGCTCCACCTCTCCTTTGATCTCCAGAGTAAGGTCAGAGGTCATGCAGTCTCAGCCTGAATGAGGAATGACAGAGATCCTGTCTGTGCATCAGATCACAGGTTATGATGTCATTGCTGCTTAATTAACTCTCCTAACTCTGTCATTAAAAACAAGAACAAGCTGTTTCCCCTTCATTTCAAACAGAAAGCAGAAGTTATTCGTTAATCGTTATGGTTTTTTATCACAACAACACTTTGCTGGATTTTAATTGACTAAGCAAATATAAAATGAAGAGCGGTTACAGTAGTTGCATTATTGTTTCATCATGTCTGCTTTTAATAAATTACTAAATAGTTTTTAAAGCTTTATTAAGTGATTTAGACAAACATTCACCGGCTTATAGTTATAAATGGATGAATTGATACATCAACGTTTTACTGCATCGATATCCAGCCGTCTGCTGAAAAGATGCCGTGTTTGTCCACATTCCAGCCCTTCTATAGATTCCCTGATGAGTAACGCATTCAGACAAAAAGCTTAGAGATTCATGGAAAACATTTTAATGTGGATCATTGAAAAAACAAAGCAAGTTTGATGAAGTGTTACACAACAGTGAGGGTAGCCTGAGTTTAAGTTCAGATAAGTTCAGGTTTTCAAACTGAGCTCTTCTACTGTTCTTCTGTTTCCAAGTTTACTGGATGCAGAATGTGAAAAAAAAAAAACATAAAGGAAGTTAAAGTCTGTGAAATCCTCCAAACCCAGGAACGGTTCCTCTATCCCAGCTGTGTCTCTCCTCAGGCTGCCTGATATAATCCAAGGAATGCACCCCCCCACCACCACCAGCACCCACAGGAAGTGCTCAATGTTCCTCCTACCTGATCCTTTTCTTTCTGGCTCCCAGGTTCTCTTCCGCCTCCCTCCTTGTCTTTCTCCAGCTGACCCGCCATCCTCTGCTGAAACTGGAGGTCATCTGATCACAGAGCAGAAGCTCAGCTCTGTTTACCCAGCAGCTCCACCCACAGCTTCCATCAGGCTCCGCCCATAAAGACAACACGGCTCCTGCCTTGGGAAGGAGGCTGTCTTGACAAGGGAAGAACTAGATTCTGAGGAAAGTAAACTGCTACACAGGAAACCTTTCCACATTTAGTCACGTTACTCTGAAAAACTGGAATTCAGTTTATTGGGATTTCATTTCTAAAGCTAACACAAAATAAGGACTTATTTTGTTCTCAATCACCCTGCTCCTCCGGAAGACACTCAAATGTCGAAAGTAAGGAAAAAAAACTGTTTTAAATCAAAACACAGAAGTTTCCAGATGATAAACAACAATTTAAATAAACTGGTTGACTGGTTGGGGGTGGGGTGGGGGGTGGAAGGGTGGAGAATGACTCCTGAGCCGATCTCTATGAGGTTTGTTCTTTTCAAAGAACCTTCAGAAAACTGTACTCTGCTTCTCTCTCACTTTTCAATTATCCCCCCCACCCCCCCATGGGGAAATTTTGGTGTTTAAAGAAGCAAAAAGATTGTAGAAAAAAATGGTCACACAAATGTGGACCTTAAAAATGTATAACAATAAAACAATAGTGAAGAGTTAAAAGATACACCATAAAACACTGTAAAGTGTTTAAACAAAATAAAACTGTTAACCTGGAGAATAAATCACCAATATCCAGCAATGGACATTTTTACAGTCAAACTAACAAACTGACTAAGGTAGAAACTGAGCAGAATCAGCATGAATGGAAGAACTGGTTGAGGTTGTTGGGAACAGTGGTGGTTCTAGAGTCTTCCAGCTGCTGGGAGGAAGGATCTGTGATAACGCTCCCTGGTGCATTTAGGGTGCAGCAGTCTGTCACTGAAGGAGCTGTCCAGTTCAGCACCAGCTTCATGCATGGGGTGGGGTGGGGGGGGTGGACATTATCCAACAGAGATGTTAATTTAGTTAGGATCTGTCCCACCTCCTGCACTGAGTCCAGAGGGCATCCAATCACAGCTGGCCTTCCTGATCAGCTGATCCAGCCGCTTCCTCTCAGCTACAGATGAGCCACTGCTCCAACAGACAGCTGCATATAAGATGGATAATTCCACAGCAGAGTCAGGGAGGGTCTTTAGGAGCGTCCCCCTTCAGTCTCCTCAGCAGGAGGAGTCTGCTCTGACCTCTCTGATCCAGAGGGAAACAACTTAGAAGAGTCCACTATCTCAATGTTCATTCCCTGAATGTTCACTGGACTATATA